AGGATCAGGTGGACCTGAATCCTCACCCATTCTAAGAAACAACATGACATTGTTTTTAACTTTAGAGCAGAGGCTCAAAGAAAGGTTCTTGGAGGGTGGGCTTAAGACCCCTACATAGTCTGATGGGAGGCAGGGGACTTTGGGGTCAGACTGTGGCTCCACCTCTTACAAGCCGTGTGACCCTAGGATGTCACTTCACCTGACAACAACACAAAAGTACATCAGGCACGCGGCACAGTGCCTAGCATTTAGGGCATCCCTGGTAAGGATGGCAGTTGTCATAAATAAAAGGAGAGGAAAAGGGCTTCTCTGGATTTAAAAGCCAGTAAAATAGCCACTATTTAATTAAATTTTTCTTCAACTTACAAGTCAATCAGAAACCATTCTGTATATGGTGAAACTATATTTGGGTGAGAAAACAAATACACCTGACCTCTGTTTTATAAAAGAAGGTATCACTTTATCAAACCCAAACCCATCCCTTCTCCTTCACATTGGCCAGGGCTGGTACCCAAGACCAAGCATCCAAGAGGTCTGAAAAACTTTCCTCTCAATTAGAATTCCCTGAATAATAAACTATCCTGAACATGGATGTGGGGGGGGGGGCCTTAGAAAGGCTGGGAACTTATGAATAACGTGGTTGGCATTTGGTGAGTGTCAAAAAATGTATAAATGAGAAAGAGAAAGAAAAACCAGAGGCATGAATGCTCCATCTCACACTGCCTTTCCCGTCCCCTGGGCCTGGGACAGCCCCCTGGAAGCCTCCTCCCGGTCTTACCTTTTCCAGTCCTTACCCCTGAGCCACCTTCGTCTTCTAGAACACTGTGTGTGCTTCACCGTTCTGCTCAACCTCTTCAATGGCTTCCCACTGCCTTCAGGATAGGGCCACTCAAAACTCTCAATCCGTCCCTCCAAACCCACCTCCTTTTGTTGATCCCTTGTGCAAAACCAGAAACTCAACTGAGCCACGCTCGTTCATTCACTGCTCTTCAAAATGCTGCCTATATTCCTACCTCCCAGGCTCTGTTCACAACATTCCTTCTATCTAGGCTTCCGTTGCCCACTCCTCGTAGTTTGTCCAAATCTAACTGTTTCTTCAAAGCAGACTCCAGGTCCACCTTCCTCTAGAAACTCTCCCATGGTTACTCTTGCTATTAATACTAATTATTAGTATTAATATTAATATGAGGCTTTCCCTCATACATTGCCTAAATCCTTCACTTGGCATTTATTATCTGGTAAGTTTTGTTGTTAGTTACCCATTTTTGAGGTCTGGCCCATCTCCCCAAATAAACCATAGCGCTTCAAGAACAGAGAACACTTTGATCATTTTGTAGCTTACAGCAATGCCACGCACACAGCGGGTATTCATTATATTTTGCAAGCACTGGTAGACAGAGCACTGTCTTGGGAACCCAAGGCCAGCGCCACAGCTAAACCACCAGGTGGCTGTGGGCCTTAAATCTCCCATCTATTCCCAGAAGTCTGAAGAGTTGAACCCTGAGGTCCTCGCCGGATCTGCAAATCCAGTGACGGGGTTGGCCATCTGCTAACATGGCTAGAACACCTTTTTTCCTGCCACCTTCACTTAAGCCCTATCACTAAGACTAGGAAAAAGAAGGGGACATGTTTGAAGGAACCAAAGATTCAGAAGAGGAGCTTGTGACACAATTCTGAGTTTAAAGTAGAGAGCGGTAAATTTAAATTTTTAACTTAAAGAGACCAAGATCCAGAAAACAAAATTCCCCCTGCCTTCCCTTTTCAGTGGTTAGCAGCAGTCTGCTAGGGATTCAGGACCGACACTATTAATCCGGTTGGAGATAAAAGTCGCTATTTCCTGTTCTGTAGGGGACATCCTTGTTCAGGAGGTGTCACAAGGTCAGCATTCCAGGGGGGCAGAGGAAAAAAAGGTCTTAAGCCTGGAATTTTCTCACTCTGATTCTGGCAGGAAAGCAACAGGCACGTGGTGGACTAAATGGTCCACTAAGTGGACTGAAATGGCTTCAGGATCAGGGCCCATCTGTCTACACCCAAGGTCCTCTCCGTAGAGCCTGCACTTTAAAAGGCAGGAAATTAAGTCTTGCACCAACCCCAACGATGAATGAGAATTAAATGCTTCCCAGGGAGGCAGGTATTGGGTCAATCCATTTCTTTGACCTCCCTTACAAACCAGGAGGCAGCAGAGGCCAGAGGAGAAATCAGGAGACATCATTTTATCTCAGGGTTTTTGTTCTTTTTTTTAATTTTTAAGTTTTTATGCTATTTTTTATTTATTTATTTTACAGAACTTTGCAAGCTGGACCATCTTAGGGTTTTTGTTTCATGGTTTTACCATTTCCTACGTCCATTTGAACATGATGCTTGATTTCTCCACTTACAGCAAAAACACCAGGCTTGACCCTCCCTATGCCAGATCACGCAGTGAGAAGAAAATAGAAGAGTTGGAAAGAAAACTAGTAAAGCAAAGAGGCTGTCGACATTTGTGGGGCTCACACTTACAGGCATATAACGCAGATACAGAGAGAGAACAGAAGAAATGAAAGGCCGAATCAGACACTGTTGGTTGAAATCCTTCTCATAGCATTTCAGTGTTACAGTTTAGAAAAGTCTCCAGAAATCCCCTGGAACAATAGCCTCATTTTGGTAGATTTTACAGACCGAGCTCAGGAAGGCTGGGGCCATCCCTGAGCTCCACGGGGCTAGTGCAGGAGCCAGGACTGGGGCTCCCAGCCCAGCGCTCGTTCCAACAGATCATGTGAGTTCCCTTAACTTCCTCCCTAAACTTACTTCAAGTTCTTGGCTCAGTGGAAATATTTTCAAGCTTGACCACATCACAGGCAGCAGCTCTATTCCCCCATGATCCAAGTGCTCAGTTGAGAGGAAAAAGAAAGGCCCCAAACAATTGTGGGACCAGCTATCTAAGTGATCAGTTCTCAGTGTTGGGCCGTCGGCCGAGCCGAGGGAGGCCAGCGCGTTCTGGTTCAGTGTGTCTGTGTTTTGTTTTTGGTGTAAAACGTGGGACTGAAAGTCTGTTTTAACTGCCCGATTACTGACAGGATAACATACTTTCCCACCATTCCTTTCTGCGTAAGTCACAAGAAACGCCAGCAAAACAAATCCACGGTCACTTATTCTGTCATTGTGAATGCTTAGCAGGTCCTGAAACGTCCTGTGGTAATGCAGCTACTTGGCCAAGCTGGCAGGAACTCATAACAAAACAGCTTTTATTCCGGTGAGAGAAGTTATTAGCAAACACACACTTTGGGGAGGACCTTGGCGGGGGTGCGGGTGGAAATGTCAAGGTTGAGTGCTCCTTGTGGACTTCTGGTTTTCAGGAAGGGCCCTTTCTAAACCTCTGCAGCTCAGCCTGCCACCCCTCCAGGGGAATGCCATTAGCACGGCCCCGGAACATGCAGACAAAACCCAGAATGGGGCGGGGAAGGCGGATAGAGCCTGGGGTTGCAATTTCCTTCACTCTTGGGAGCTCAGTGGCAGTGTGAGGATCACACTTGTTTGCAAAGAAAACTGGCAACGAGATACACAAGATACGGAAAGGACACCAGCAATTCACATTCAACTCTGGGTGGGGACTGCCAGCTCACATGGTGTTGTCCCTGTGCACTGGGATTTCTAGTTCTTGGTCACCCTGAGCAGAGGGAAACACAGTTCAGTGAGAAAGCAGAACGGAGACAAGGGGAAAGAGCCCTCATGATTAGGGAAGATTTTGCCCAAATTACTTGTATTCCAGATTTTACATTTGAACCCTCCATCAGATGATTTCCTAATCTATACTCAGCAGCATTCCAAGGTTTTTAGGTTTTGTTTTCATTTTTTTAACTGGGAAAGTGCCAACTTGGTCAAGGAAGATGTGAAGGGTTTTTTAAATGTCAATGTACCATTCCTCAGGCACCCTTTTAAGGCCCTAGACATCCACCTGAGTCAGTTGCCATTGAAAGCACATCCTCTCAGAAGTTTCTACAGGTGTCCACAGGCATCGTGTGTCAATGAAGGGCTGAGATCAGAGAATACAAATTAATTCTCTTCAAAACTACCACTGAGTGCTCTGAATTCTTGTCCCCAGATGTTTCCATATTTTATCTGTCAAGTGGCTTGGGCATGCACTGGGGACACGGAAACAAATTAACAGTGCCACCACTTTCCAGCAAAATGACCACTCTCCCCACCCTTGCCACTCCCAGCACATCAATCACATAGCCGCTCGGAACCTTCACTTAATTAAAAAATGGAAACAAAATCCAAACACCTTGGGATGATAATGCACGTAGCTTGGGAAATCTGTTCTGTCATCTACGATGGGAGAACAAGAACTCTCCGACCACCTCACGGTGGCGCCATAAAGATCAAACATAAGTTGAAACTCCTTTCGAAACTGCAAAAAGCACTCTCTTGGAGGGTAAATCTGTCATATTGTGAATGCTCCATAGGTGTATGTATTGCTCAATAGCTTGTAAAGTTCTTAAAGGAAAAGGCTGTATCTGAGAGTTTACTTTCTGTCCATCGAATACAGTGCCGGCTAACCAAATTTGGCACGATTTCCTGTCGAACTAATGATTCTTGAGCCTCAGCTCTAAAAGCACTTTGCCTATTATTATGGCTAACGGTTATTCACAACCACTCCAGAAACTTCCACTTTCTGCTTCATGTTATTTATTATACCTCTCTCCTAGTGGCTCATTATGGTGAAAACTAGCCAATCTTCCATCCATTTCCGCAGTGCCTGAGCTTTCTCTTCCTGCTCTGACTGAATCCTCAGGTTTCCCCTCTCACGTCTCCTTTCCTCAGAGGACACCATCTCTGTGTTCTTATGCAAAATCCTAACCTCTCTGGGAATCTGTCCCATTCCCTCTTCATGACAAGGAGGACATCAGACTAAGTTATGTCCATCACTCCTTCCAACTCCCATGGCCTGCGAGTCTAGGAACTACCCACTTCTTCCTCCAATCAAGAAATCCGCTCATGGCCCAGCGATAGGACAGTACCTGTTCCCTGCTCCTGGAGATCCTCTCCGACAGCAAATCCGAGTTGTTTCTTTCTTCCTCCAGTTCCATCTCCAGCTGAGACACCTTGTCCTGGGGAAAAGGTCACAAACACAACCTATTTCACTTGCGCAGAGCCAGACTGGGGGCAAGGACAGCCCTAGGAAAGGAAAACCCCACGGACAAATGAGAGCTGAGTATCATCAGGGTCTGGAAAAATGATCTATCTGTTTCTTCTACTGCCCAAAGCAGATCTTTAAAAAACTGTGTGTTTTATATGACTTTTGCAATGTAAAATATAACCATCTGTGTCGAAAAACACATAAAAGAAGAAACAATATTACCCCAAACCCTGACACAAGCACTAAGGATATTTTAGCATGTTTCCTTCAGGTGTTTTTTTCTTTCTGTGAATCAGTAACTTCAAACAGATCCACCTATGCCTGTTAAAAGACAACGTGGAAAAAAAAATTTTAAAGTAAAACAAATATAGGACAGTGTGGGAGCTGAGACACCATGCAAGGGACATTTCTCTACATATGTCATGCTCAGGACACTGTTTGGCCGCTCTCCTGCTCAGGATTTCCAAGAGCCTTGCAGGAGCAGAGTCTACAGCAGCCTTTGGCACTTGCCTCTCTCTTCTAGGGAACACCATGCACTTCGCACTGTGAACTCCCAAATCTGCACTGGATTCACACACAGACAGGCTGACCAATTCTGCTAAACTCATCATTACATAAGAATAATAATTTGCGCCTTCCTCGATGGCTCCTAATGTAAAATAATTAAGTGTTAAGAGAAAAGTATTTTAAAGTAGTCTGGTATATGGAAAAAAAAGGCTTCTAACACAAACCACCTAACATAGAACTAGAGGGTTGTGGGGTTTGTGCATGTATTTCTCCTGTCATCAGCCAATTTGTCCTATGTCTGGGTAAACTCAGAGCCACTGATGCTAAAAAAGCAACTGGCATTCTGAGTTTTAAACATGCCCTTGCAGCATTTGTGTATAAATATTGTCTCTGCAATTGCCAAAGTCGGTTGACAATCAATGGATGCCCCTGCGAGCACCAAAAATAAAATGCACAGAACTCAGGTGAATGAGTGAATGTCTGTGAATGGCCTCCCTGGTCGTGATCGAAATCTATAGGGATGCTGCCAAGCTCTCTCCCGGGAGCCAAGCATCCCAAAGACCAACTTTGAACAGAGCCGGGTCCTGCACTGAAGCCTCCTATCTGTTCAGTGGTTCCCGATTCCTCCAAGGCCAATTCTACTATAGTCAGAAATCACAAGAGCTGCATTTACATATAACAGCCTCCCGAGTTTCTGAGTTTACAGAAAATGTCCATCCTTGGGAGACCTCTTGAGTCTTGAGAATTAATTTAAGTGCTGGGGAAGGAACAGGCTAGACCTTAGTCACAGCAAGGCAGCCCTGCCAGCTGCCTCTCAGGGGAGGAAGAAGACCCCTCAGGTGTGGCTGAGCCTTGAGAGCTATTCATTTTGTAATTCATGGAGGAATATCTGAAATATTGCAGAGGTGCAGATAAAGCTTAGCTAGGCTACTGCTTATAGACCTTAAGTCAGCCAAAGGAAATGTTTCTTTTAGTCAGGATATTCTAGAGGGAGATGATCTGACAACTCAGTCTTCTTCAGCTAATGGCAACTCTTCACAGGGCTCTCTTCCTGCCTAAAATCCGTACACACAGAACCCAACAGGAGCATTCAGGGGCCTGGCCAGAGCCCATTTGCCTGAAGCAGCTTTAGCTTGTTTTTAACTAAGCTGTTCAGGCTCCCAGAATCAGTCAGTTCCTAGTTAACTGGGCTGACCTTGGCTTGCCTTAAAATTACCTCCCCTTAAGAGATCAGAACAAGGACATCAGCAAAATATACAGCAATCTTGCAAAAGAGTAATAAAACTGTAATCAGGTTATTCCAGTCTCTAAAAGAGGCCCATCTAATAAAATCTTCAATGACTGAAACAGCACTCCCTAGATATAAACTGCTACTAAGTCCCCTCGAGGTTTTAAGAAGTTATTCTGTTTATTTGCAAAGTTGAATCAGGAATTCCATTGATTTTGAAAGCAGTCATCTCTCCCTGGCCTTGAGCACTGTCTGTCTTTTATCAAATCCTTGACAATTTTAACTTCTCTCAAAAGCTGAAGGCTTATTTTTTAGTGTCTCTGTCTCTAAATTCCACTCTGTGTGCGCGCGTGCGTGTGTGTTTGTTTCTGGTTTGGAGCTAGTTTTGTTCCTGAAAATCGTTCTTTTTAAAAGTTGAAGTGGACATATTTTAAGGATCTTCCTGTCATTCTCAGCGGATTGTTCATACTTAGATTCTATTACTTCATTTACGTTTTTCCAGTACGTTGTGTTTTCAGTTTGTGAACAAATCACCCCCATCCAGTAACTGCACTGAGCCCTTTCCAATATACCGTCCCGGACTGTGTACGTATTGTATACACAACAACACACTGAGCCACACAGTTTGCTGCCAGCTCTGAGAAAGCCAGACAACCTGCAAGGGAAAATGGACCAGAAACAGGAAACGAGAATGGAGTATGCGCACGAGAGGGCTGATGACCGCTAGGAGGCAGGCGGTTGGCGACCAAGGCTCATCTCTGCCCCTCTCTGGACATGCGGCAGTCTTGTCAGAAGCACTGCTCCCAAAGAACAAGCGGAAAAGGAACCATCTCTGTGTCCTTATGCAAAATCCTAACCTCTCTGGGCATCTGTCCCATTCCCTCTTCATGACAAGGAGGACATCAGACTAAGTTATGTCCATCACTCCTTCCAACTCCCATGGCCTGCGAGTCTAGGAACTACCCACTTCTTCCTCCAATCAAGAAATCACCTCCCTAACACCTGGCTGTTGGACAGAACAAAAACCCAGGATGCCCAAAGGCTGAGGTATGAGCAGAGAGGCCGCCTCCCCGGCGTCCCGGACTCGCTCTGCACTGGCCCCCCGGCTCACGCTGTGCAGCCCACAGACCTCCATCTGCTTGACGAGTCTGCCGCGGTCATCCTTGACGTGACTCTTGGCCTCCAGCTCGTACTCCAGGTCCTTCAGCGTCTGCTCCAGGAGCTGCCTTTTCGTGAGCGCTTCATCCTGCGCTCGCTGGTGGTCCCGCAACTCTTCCTCCATCAGACGCATCTAGGATGAGACAGAGTTGGGGGGTTTTTCTGGGGTACATCAGGAGCACAGGACCTCCACAGGCAGTGCAGAGGCTGACCCTGAAGAAGACCCAGGGGACCCCCACTATACGGGAGATCAGAAAACCCTGAGCAAGTCCCACCTCCTTCTGTGCCTCTTTCTTTCTGTAAAAAGAGTGGGTTTTCCAGCTACAGGTAGCAACCCATTAGGTTATAAATTCTACTTAATACATGTTGATCAGCATTTTTTAAATTAAATATAGAACAGGAAAAAAAATCAGAGCAGAGTATGAGCGAATATTGTTTTATGACTCTCTTATACTAGATATTCATATATTTGTGTGGATGTTTGTATTCCTGGGTTGCAACGCAAGATAGAATTCCTACTACGAGTCAGGCCAAAAACACTTGAAAGCCACTGAACCAGATAAGTGCTTCCCACCTGTATCACTATCACCTCGAAAGAGGTTTAAAGTTAGGGTGTAATAAAAAGTTAAAAAAAAAAAGAAGCAAAACCTAAATTAATGACCCCAAAGCAACTTACAGGCACAAAATCTAACAATATAAAGATGCACATTAGGGGAAAACCACTGCTTTGTATAACCACAGTGAGCAAAATTTACAGTGTTTTTTTTTTCATCCACAAGGTGGCACTGAACTAACAACTTTGAGGAAAGTGCACAGGACCAAACCACTCTATTCACAAGGGCTGGTCTCTGTTTAGAAGCCCTCTGGAATCTCCCCAGGGAGAAGAGCCACCTCTGTACTCCTTAAACACCTGTGTGGACTGATCCAGTGATGCCCAAGGCTGTCTGTTTTGTCCCCAATGTCCTCCCCTCCTGGAAATGGCCCAGCAGTCTTAGGAACAGAATACACCGGGGGTTTATTTCCTTCAGAGAGTATATGGAAGTGTGTGGCAAACTCCACTACAGAATACCACCCTCTGGGGGTGTTTGTCGCAGAAGAGTTGGGGAAGCCCCAACAGGTGAGGCTAGTTCAAGGAAGACCAGAGGGAAATTTCAGGCAACGTGCTCTTCTCTTGGAGGAGACTGCAGGGAACACCTCACATTTCTATGAGAGCAGCCCAGCCTTGAAGGTGACATCTCGAGATAAAGACTCTCGTCTGGTTTGGGTGGTCACCATTGGAGAAACCGTGCATGAAAGCACGGAGTGAAAACCATCCCGTGGAAAGAGGATGCTGGGGCATCCTCTGAATACAGAAGATGCACTATATACTCCAGAGCATTAACTCTCTCCGTGACTCAGTTTCCTCATTTGCAACATTGGGATGATTATAAAACCAAACTCTTAAAGCTAGCATGAGAATCAAATGAGATGAAACTCTAAAATTTTTTAGAAAGTGGGTTTCAGAGTCAAAAGAATGACCGGCAAACGGACAGCCTGCGTTTCCTTCTTGGTATCCTTCCTACACCTGCCATGTCTCTCCCCACACCTAGCTGCCCCTCACCCCACTGCTCAGTAGGTCCCTCCCAGCACCTAGCAAGGGCTCTGCCACACTGTGAGCACTTGGTAAGGACATGCAGAAGAGGATAACTAGTACAGTGTCTCAGATCAACTTCTCCCGAATCAAAAGCAAGCAAACAACTTTTGACCCTGCAAGTGCTACTTTCCAAGTAGTTAAAACCACCCTTGGCTATGCAAGATTTAGAAAACAAACTGAACAATGATGAACTCGAAGTCTCAATTCTCTAAACATTATCTCCAGCAGAGGCAGAATAGGTAAAAATGCCATAGCACTTAGAATGGACCCTGGTAGCTTTCTTTCTTTTTACTGAGAGCTTTAACTCAGCTCAACCAAAACACAGGCTGAGGGGGGCAGCGAAGAGCTGAGCTTGAGTTTTTTAAGCATCCAGAGTGATCTTGGCTTATCAATTCACTTTTGTTTTAAATAACTCCAAGACCTCAGCATCTGAATCATGGGTGGTCAATCTCACTGTACTTTCCTTCTAGCATAAATGAGGTATATAAGTCTGTTGTTCAAATGGAAACAGCATCTCACAGGGCTATACCAGTGAGAAAATCTGGGCTATCTTTATTTTCATTGTATGGAATCTTCTTTATTATTATTATTATTATTATTATTGGCCTTTTAAAAAAATACCGGTCTCCATCTGGCCTTAACTAATCACTATGGAGCTCAGTTTCCTTATCTAACTAGAAGATCTCTAAGTTCCCTTCCAACCCAAAGACTCTAGCATAAAAACCACATACAAAAAGCAGGGGGAAGTACTCTGCAGGAGTCAGTGTGACACTGACCTTTTGAAATCAAAACAGACCAGGTGTTTGTTGGTGTTCTGGCAAATATCTGAATTATTTTCAGATTTTGCCTCTGCTGTAGAAATGAACATGACTTTTTTTTTTTTAATGCCAAAGAGAATTGTAACATTAGTGTGTGATTTCAGTTCTTACTTGGAACCCTGTATGCTATGACCCTGAGCCAGAGGGGGGGGTCTGTTATCTGGGTCCTTTCACAAGTGTTCCAGAGGTCTGTAATAAATATCCATTGTTCTTTTACACAGTTTCAGCACTGACTCATGGGCGACGTTTTCTTTGATCATCAAAGAAATTAAAAGTTTGTTTTTTAAAGAAAAACTTGTTTTCCTGTGGAATCTTAGTGCTCTTGGCATTGTACACGAAAACAAAATAAGCCTTAAAATTAAAGAAAGGGAAACTGACATTTATTAAGTGGCCAGAATGTACAGACCCTCTGCGACACAGTCTCACATGTTACCTTGTTTAATTAAAGTCACTAATATTTCATGTGTGTTTTTAAAGAGGTAGAAACAGATGCTCAGAAAACTGGGATAATGTTCAAAATCACCCGGCTGGCCAGAGGCGTAGCCCCAAATCAGCATACACTGTACTTGTATTTTAGAGACTCCAGCTTTTCATTAAAACAATCAAAAACAGTCCCTTTATTTTTCTCAGTTCTTTAGAGGTCACGACTAAACACAGCTAAGATTCGGGTTTCTTTGCTCTATTATTCTTAAATATAAAACCAAAAATATGTTTTAATAGTTTCAGTCCTCATAAATTCCTGAGGATTTCTTTTAGTCTCCATTACTGTTCTGAAACTCTTATCCACCACTCCCACTTATAAAAGTCTGTATTTTCTAAAATAAATGGCAAAAAAAAACCCAAAACAGTCGGTTCCTATAATCCTTGTTCTAGCATTAAATTAAAACATGAAAGCAGATAAATCACTTGGATGCCACTGGCCACATCACTGCTGCTATATAAACGGCTGCTAAATTTTTTAGGCAGAAAATTTTTGATTAATCAAGAAAACGGTCAAGTTAAAATTGTGTCCATTTCACCTTAGAGTCGGTGAAGTCCTTTGTGTCTTAGAATGTCACCTGGCCGGGTAGCCCTCCTGAGGGTTAAAAGGAAAGGATCACACTCACACAAAAGCTGTCTTACAAACACCCCAAGTCCCTTCCAGAAGAGCTTCCAAGCCTGCTGGAAGAACACCGGGAATGAAGGACAGAGGAGGGACTTATCTGGCCGGGCATTACCTCCTCCTGCATTTTCACGGCTGTCAGTCGGGACTTCTCTGCCTCTAGGGTTTTCTCCTTCAGCTGCCTTTGCATCTCCGAGAGCTCCCTGCGATTCTTCTCCTTGTACTCATCCAGCTGGTTCTGCAGCTCCAGAGTGGATGCCCGGGACGCTTCGACAATGTCGGCCATCTGGAAGGAGTGACAGGGACGTGAGCCCACCCCGCCACGCTCCGTCTCAGACCACGGAGCTGGGTTCGGGTCCCATTTCGACACGGAACGCAGCCCCTCTTCTCCAGTCTTCCACAGCCCCCGAGAAGACTGCCAGCCACCTGGTCCTGGGCTGGGTGGGGCTGGTCCCCTCTGACTTGGAAGCAGCGTGGAGGACTGAGCAGGCATAGCCTTTGGAGCCAGATGCACAGCCCTGCGGCGATGTATCCGCTTTGCTACTTGCCAGTATACGACTGGGCATGTTTTTTTTTGTTTTTTGAGACAGAGCCTCACTTTGTTGCCCAGGCTAGAGTGAGTGCCGTGGTGTCAGCCTAGTTCACAGCAACCTCAAACTCCTGGGCTCAAGCGATCCTCCTGCCTCAGCCTCCTGAATAGCTGGGACTACAGGCATGCACCACCACACCCAGCTAATTTTTTCTATATATGTTAGTTGGCCAATTAATTTATTTCTATTTGTAGTAGAGACAGGGTCTCGCTCTTGCTCAGGCTGGTTTCGAACTCCTGACCTTGAGCGATCCGCCCGCCTCGGGACTGGGGCATGTTTTTAACCCTTCTGGGCCTCAGCATTGTCCTCATTGAAAATAACTGAAACCATATCTACTTTACAGGGTTGTTTGTCAAAACTAAAACAATACATAGATACAGACTGAATTCTAGGGAGAAACAAAAGCAGGTAGTAAAGCGCCTGGCCCATAATAGTGTCAGAAAATGAGCCACTCATGTCAGCTCCCAAGATACAGGGATCCCCCTGACCCTGTGTCTCTTCCCTTCTGGGTATTCAGGGAGAGGGGAGCAGAGGAACAGCAGTGACTGGGCTTTGAAACTGCCTTCCACACTCCTGGACAATAAATTGATGCAAACGCACAGAGACATAGATTCTGAGTCAGGGGACACGGTGAAGTCTACATTTACACACCAGGCTTCTTCTGCTATTTGTTAGGAGGTGATTATGGTGCCCAGACTCCAGAGGGTACTGGTATTTGCTTTTCAGTTTCTCTACATCCGGGATTCTCATCAAATCTAAAGAGCTGCTTCAGGGGGGTCTGCAAATCCCTGACACGTTTGTGCTTGGACCATAGTCCAGCTTCCCTGGTTTCCACCAGACCCTCTTCTTCTCTGGCTCCCTCACCTCCTTTTGCAGTTTCTCGATGGTCTTGTCAAGGTGCCACCGCTCGCTCTCCATCTCGTTCTTCAGCCTTCTCAGCTGCTCCTTCTGCTCGGCCTCATCTTTCAGCTTCTCTGACAACTGCTTCTGCTCCTGGGTGGTCCGAATCAGGTTCTTCTGCAAGGGCAGAAAAGGACAGGGCAGTCACCTACCTGCCAGGTAGCCGAAGTAACAGGTGGGGGGGGGGCGGCGGAAGGGGATTTCCTGGCCACACCACACAGCAACCAGACCTGTCACAGCCGTGGTAAGGAAAAAGATCAAAATAAAAGCCATGACAGGGACACAAGGACATTGCTGGTTTTGAAATTCAGGGACTGAAAAGGAAAGCTCACGTAATCAAAAACATCCACAGGCAGGAAGGGACACAGCATGTATTATAGAAACACGTGGGCAAGGCTGCTAATGGTGTGAATTCAGGATAGTGTCTGAAAGCCTGAATGTTTGTGCTTGAAAACTGAGGTAAAGTTATACATGAGACCAACCTAAACCTACCTGGCAATTTATATGCTGTGATATCAGCATTGCGACTAATATTCTAGAATCTACTCTGCTGTGGAAATGGTTCTTACAGTTAGAATAGCTAAAAATGAACCAGGCACGGAGGCTCATGCCTGTAATCCTAGCACTCTGGGAGGCCGAGACAGGTGGATCATTTGAGCTCAGGAGTTCGAGACCAACCTGAACAAGAGCAAGATCCCATCTCTACTGGAAAAAATAAATAAATAAATAATAGAAAGAAATTAGCTAGACAACTAAAAATATATAAAAAAAAAAAAATTAGCCGGGCATGGTGGCGCATGCTGTAGTCCCAGCTGCTGGGGAGGCTGGGGCAGGAGGATTGCTTGAGCCCAGGAGTCTGAGGTTGCTGTGAGGTAGGCTGATGCCACGGCACTCTATCCCAGGCAACAGAGTGAGAAAGAAAACACTGTCCCACAGGAAAAAGGTTCACTTGGGAGAGGGAGTTGCAATGTTGCAATCAATAGCATCCATGAGTTGGATGCAAACATAGACAAAAAGGAAACCCAGGGGTTGATGAACTGAATGAATAGAAGGCGTTAAACGGAAGAGACACTAGTGAGAAAAAGTACGTGAGAGTGGTTCTTTAGTGAATCAGCACCAAATACTAGTGCCTATTATATAATAAAATACAACCCATCTTGGGTACAATACTCTCCCTGGTTCCCCTGAGGCTCTCATCTCACATAGTCACACAGACTTATGTCCTTTATGTAAAAAAACATGCAATTCCAAAATAAAATCCTAAAAGATCTTAGGAAGGTTACAGTGGCTTCTTTAAATGGCCAGGTGTTAGGCCATCAGTGTGGGGCTAACAGGAAGGGGCACAGCTCAGAAGAGAGTGACATGACCCGAACAGAGACTGGATCACCTGGGAAATGCCAGCAGGTGCCCAGGGCTGAGTGTGAGTTAGTACAGGAACAACTGAGGGCCTACGGGGTCTTGTGTCCCTACCCAGGCTGCGTGAGAACAATGGTTAGCATTTGTACAGTGCTTAACATTTACAAGCAGCTGTCACGTGCGGTAACTCAGGATCTTGAAAACACTCCAGATCACTTCGGGCTAGAGCACGGAACAGCTCTGGGCTGCCAACCACATGACTCGGGGCCGAGAAACCACCCGTGGTGGCCTTCCGGCCCCCGGGCTCTGCTGGGCTGGCCACGCTTTGAGAAGCAGCCAACAAGGCCGGGCTGCTGGAGTTAATTGCTGCAGGGAACCAAGGCCACAAAAGCTCTTGGGGAAAAGGTGGCAAAAGGAAGGTAATCAGGGGTTCAGCGTGGGGGCAATTAGCAGGCATGGTCCCCACCACAGCCACAGCTGGGCATACACCCGACGCAGGGTCGAACCCTGGGGCTTCTGTTTATGGTTTATTTAGAGGTGTTGGGGGCAAAGAGTAAGAAGAAAGAGTTATGGCACCGGCGAGGAATGGTTCCACTATATGAGAGAAAGCTCAGAATGTGCATCTCAAAAACTTAAATTTGAGAACACAACAAATACAGATACAGAGGGCCAGCAATGGCTTCCTGCAGAACCTTCAGGGTCCAACTCAGCCTCTTGCCCCCCTACAGGTGCCCCCATCTCTCTTTCTCCTCCTCTGGGACCCCAACCCCACAAAAGCTCCAGGCCCACAGCCAAGCTAGCCCCAACTCGATTCAACCTACATTAGGCGTGTTCATTGCTGCTTCACTCTGCTTAGACAAGGCTGCCCGCTCCTGTCCTCCTATGCCCCTAGAGATACCATGGACTCACCGCTCTGCACCCGGGGCCTGCCAACACCCCCCACATCCCCAAACATGCACTGCCTGGAAGGAGAGTTTCGCTAAATTATTCCTAACATATTCTCGTATGCTTGCCTCTACTGCCAGGTAGTAAGATCTGTAAAGGCAAGGAATAGATTTTCTATCTATCTGGGTATGTTCACTATTAGGTATATGTAAAAAACTTAGTGGTTTTACCTATTCCCTAAAGTGATCTGAAGACTTCCTATATCAGAATCACCATGCAAGGGTGGCGTACCCATTACTTAAAATGTATCATAGATTCTAGGTCTTTCTGATGGAGTTACAATTTTTCTTAGCCTGGGGCCCACAAATTTGTGTTTGAAAGTTCCCCAGATGATTCCAATATCTCCTAAGTTTTGAACATTGTTTCAAACAATATTCTGCCCCTTCAGCTATTCAAGAAATGTGTTCCAATGAGTCACTGCTGAGAAAACATGTCCCAAATTCACATGAAAAGAAGCTAACTTGGCAATTTTGCCTTTTTTTAACCATTCAACGTGAACCACATTAGGAGTGAAATGCTCTCTAGCTACAGTGACTAAATGCCCAAGACCAGCAATACCAGCCCACTGACCAATAATGGGGCAGAAATTTGGAGAAAATGTATGGGGTCCGAGAATCTCAGACACAAGGTTGGTGGATGTATAGTGAGTCATCCTGTCATGGACGCAGAGCCTTTTACTATATGACTAAATAACCCCAGTTAGCCCATGTTAGCAGTAACCAAGGTACAAGTGAGCCTACCAGGTTCAAGGCATGAGTAGCTTGACCAAAGGGAAGGTGGCCTTCTCAGAGCCCTTGCCGCACGGTATCTATGGGCCGCCACGGTGGAAACACTGGGCCTTTTTCCCTTTGTTGTCTCCATACACTAAAGTCCAATAGGGTGGGTGGTCAAGAAATGGAGAATGTGTACCATTATCCTTCCCCGAAGGAAAGAACTGTGGCTTCTCCAGAAAAGACTTCTTCACCTCCCCATCTGCACAAGGCACTTGTAAACGCCACCATAGGTGTCTTTGCCCTGAACGCAGTTCCGGCAGGCACGGACGGCAGCGTGGTCCTGGACCAACTGAGTCCGGGGTCAGCACACCAAGACTGGCGTCTTCATGACCCTCGGCCACGCTCTGACTGAGTCACGGTAAACCAGATGTAAGTTCAACTCGGTCTTCAGCTACTGTGTAAAGAAGTATATTTATCATGCATGCAGAGGCAACCGATTGCTGCAGGCAGAAAGATTTTGAAACCTATGATGTTTGTGTGAGAAAAACACCAGTTACTTTCTCTTCTTCCTCCGGGGCCGAGTTCCCTGCGGGTTGCCAGCTTCCAGGCCGACAGGCATGCGCAAAGAGACCCGACAAAAGGAGCTGACTCTCTGGTTCCCAGTTTTAGAGAAAGCACAGTATTGTAGAGTGATGGTGCACTTTTCCTGGCACCCCTTTTTGAGACCAGGCCACACGCCCCATGAGGCGCCCTGCCCTTCTCCATACCACTGGGAAAACCAGCTCAACAGAAGTACTTCCAAACAAGGCTAGAGATGGGGAGGTGGGGTGGGTGGGGATTACATTTAGATCTTTTGGCCTCGAGGCCATCATCTGTTCTATATGCTGAATTAACCAGGAGCTGCAGATTCCCAGCCGGGAAACTATTTCCATATGTGCAAAAAAAATTCTTGTTCGACCAAAGGAAAAGTCCTGAGAGACTTTCTCTGAGTCTGCTCCCAGCTGCACCCTGTGTTTGCTGCGGACATGACACGAAGGGGCAGATGTCTGTCCCTGTAGAGTACCCATGTCCTTCCTCTCTGTCTGCCCCCCACCGGCTCACAAATTTAAACCCGACGCCTTGGCAGCTGGCTTAGGTAACAGTAGCCACCCCCAGCCTTAAATAACAGCATGGGGAAATTGCCATCTGCACCAAATCAACCCAACACGGTTTTGTAACAAAGATCTAGAGCTAAAGAAAGAAAAACATAGAAAGAAAAAGAAAAATCTAAGGGAAGGCAGTCAGACACAGAACTCAGAAAAAAACTTGACTATAAACAAAAACAACTTCCTTCCAAAGCCAGGGAGAAGGCACAGGCCTCTCTGATTTGGGGACGAGAGTCCCTGAGCTGTGGCTGATCTGTGTGACTCCCATCTGTCCTCTACACCCTGAGGAGACCAAGCCCTGCACCCTTAAGGGAAGGTGCACAGAGACCTGTACGAATCCGTGTCCTAACTCAGCTGCGTGCTTTTAATGTGCCCTCCCCCACCTATCCTAGTACAAATGGGTCCCTAATGAAACTTCGACAGCCTTCCTCTTAGACAACAGGCAGAAACGCTGGGCTTTTACCTCCTCAGAAACTCGCCTTGGGGTGCTTGGGTGCTGGTTCTTTAGAACCTGAGAGGCAGCGGCAGGAAGCACACACCTGGATGACACAGGGTCACTGTGTAAAGTCAGTTTAGCACTTCAGTGCAGGCTCTTCTTTATTTTCTTTATTTATTTTTGAGACAGAGTCCCGCTCTGTTGCCCGGGCTACAGTGCTGTGATGTCAGCCTAGCTCACAGCAACCTCAAACTCCTGGGCTCAAGTGATCCTTCTGCCTCAGCTTCCCGAGTAGCTAGGACTACAGGCATGCACCACCATGCCAGGCTAAATTTTTTTCTATATATTTTTAGTTGGCCAATTAATTTCTATTTTTTTTTTTTTAGTAGAGACGGGGGGGGGTGTCTCGCTCTTGCTCAGGCTGGTTTCGAACTCCTGACCTCGAGCGATCTGCCCGCCTCGGCCTGCCAGAGTGCTAGGATTGTGGGCATGAGCCACCGCGCCCGACCCAGGCTTTTCTTTACACTGTACTTCAAGTAATCTTTCTAACCTGCAAATAGGAAAATCTAATTCTCTAAGAACCTCCTGATTTTGAATAGAGATAGCTATCCAGTTTCAAGGGTTGACTTCCTCCTGCCCCTTCTCATAGCCGCCTTGAAGGACTGCACTCTGCGGGTGCATTTGCCCAGAGGAGAAGGGAAATTGGCTTCTGCCAGAAAGCCACCTCCATACTGCCTTGGGGACCAATCCTGCCGGCCTTTCACACAATTCGTATTTTTTATCTTTGGAAGGCTGTCAAGCTCTTTAATGTCAACGTCTCTCAACCTTGGCACTCCTGACATCCGTGGCCAGACAAATCTCTGTTGTGGGGCTGTCCTGTGTTTTGTAGGATTTTTGGCAGCATCCCTGGCCTCCACTGGCTACCTGCCAGTAGCACCTCCCTAGTGTGACAACCAAAAGTGTCTTCAGACGTTACCAAATGTCCCTTAGTTGAGAATCACAGTCTAAATGGACAGTTTGAAGGCCAGGGCGGTTACTATGGGTGAAAGGGAGGTACCTGGGAAAACAGGACCAATGACAATTTCTGCATGTCCCTCCAATTTTGCTTCTCTGGGTTTCCTTTATGACGGGATAAGGACAACAACCCTCAGTGTTACCTGAGCATCCTCCAATTCGCTCTCCAGGCCCCTCCTGGCTGACGCAGCTTCTTTTCCTTCCTTTCTGGCATGCACAAGGGCCTCTTCTAATTGTCGTATTTCTCCCTACGACAAAACGCAGGGTCAGTGTGCACTATGGTGTGTGCTGCCACCTTGAAGACGACTGACTGGATGGAATGAAATGAATGCAGAAGACACCCACAGACACGACAGTGGCTACAGTCACGACATGACTGTCATGGGCCAAGATGACACAACAGCTGTGTTCTTGGATGCGTGTGCCTGTCCTGCAGTTTCAGTGCTTAGTCAGGTGTGAACATCCAGATACCTGGGGTGGTTTTATAAAACTGCAAATACCCAGCCTTACCCCTGGAGATCCGGAAACAGCAGGTATGGAATGGACCCAGGCGTGTACGGTTTTGCAAAAGGTATCCAGGTGATTCTGACGGATGACTGCTATACTTTGAATGTGTCCCCCAAAAGCTATGTATTGGAAACTTAACCACCACTGTAACAGTATTAAAAGGTGGGACCTTGAAGAGGTGATTAGGCTGAGAGAGCTCTGTCCTCATGAATAGATTAATGCCATCATGGAGCCAATGGGTTCCTTTTAAAGGCTGAGTTCAGCCCCCTTTGGTCAGTCCCTCTCCCTCTCCCTGCCCTTTCACCATGTGATACCTTTCACGTTAGGACACGGCAAGAACACCCTTGCCAGATGCCAGCACCATGATATTAGATGTCCCAGCTTCCAGAAGCATGAGAAATAAATTTCTATTGTTTGTAAATTACCCAGTCTGTGGTCTTGCGTTATAGCAGCAGCAGATGGTCTAAAACAACAACCATGTTTGTCCCCCTCTTTTGTCATCAGCTGCCCTTTGTTACTGCCATCAGTGTGCATCTCTCCCTAACAGCTTCCCACTTCTAGAGGTCTAGCTAACCAGATAATGGGTTTGTTAAAACCTGTGTAACTTCAAAGATATCACCTATGTGCAAAAAAAGAATAAATAGCCTCGAGTGAGAATCGGTCTAATGTGGTGTCAACATACCCTTGTGTCAGGTGTTTGGAGGCCTCTGGGAAGGCTCAGAAGACTGAAGGGTCCTGACACCTGGGGGAGTGGGGCTGTGTTTCCCACCTGACTTCTTCGCCCCTGTCCCCCTCCCAGAGGAACAAAAGCAGTGGCTTGCACAGGGGATATATTCACTATAGCCCTGACCCTTCCTACTAAATTATGGTGCGAAATCCCTTCCCCACTTCTGAAACCATCTACACAGGAAAGAAGGATCTGCAGCTGCCAGGCCTGGGCTTGGGCCCGGCGAGCCTTACCTCGTACTTCTTGAGCGTTTCCTTCGCTTTGGCTTCCTCTCCTTTCGTGTCATCGATCTGCCTCTGAAGCTGGGCAACTCTTCGCTCCAGCTCTCCAATCCTTCCCTGCAGCTTCTCGTTCTCCTCCTGCAGAAGCTTCACGTGCATTTCAGCCCCCACCTGGTTCTGCTCTGAAGCGTGGCTCCGGCTGGCCAGGACCTCGACATTCTGTAAACACACAGAGTGTGTGAGTAAGGGGCAGAGTCTGCAAGCTGGGAGAATGGCTGACGTGTATGAAAAACCCTCTACGTGTCAGGCCCTGTGCTAAGCCAGGGGTCGGCAAATGACAGCCTGCAGGCCAAATCCAGTCCGGCACCTGTCTTTTAAAAATGCAGCGTTATTGGAACACAGCCACACCCATCTGTTTGCAGATTGCCTATGGCTGCTTTCAAACTACAACAGCACAGCTGAGTGGTTGTGGCAGAGACCACAAGGCTTATGATGGGTCACAAAGCCTAAAAGGTTTACTGTCTGGGGCTTTATAGAAAAAGTTAGCCAAAACTTGCCTGTGTTAAGTTCTTTACAAGGGATTTCCACCTTGCAACAATTCTAGAAGGTGGTGCTGTTCTCATCACCATCTTAAATATGAGGAAACTGAGACATGGGTAGATTAAACAACTTATCCAAGACCACTGAAGAGGAGCCATGTTCACGCAGACTGAATCCAGAACCTGCCCTCCCAACCCTTGCCTTAGATATGGTCACTTCCCTGCCCCCTTTGCGAAGGCATGGCCTTTAATAGAAGCTCTTGATGAAGGGCGTCTACTGCGTACAGATTTTTTAACGTCCACATTAAAACTGGCTTAAATTGCAATACATAGAGTTCATAGTGTCAGCTCTAGGCACTATCATCTGAAAATGAGCTTATGCAGCACACCATTCACAACAGAAAAACGGCAACAATCACAGGATGGTTATTGTTAATTCTAGATGTCACATAGGCTTTGTATTCTTTGGTTCAGCAACTTAAAGTGCTGATAAGTGGTCCTGTCTAGAGGACCAACACTTTGGGCAGATCTCTTGCCTGTCCTCTATTTATTCACTGATACTTCTGCCAATATCAGCAGATCCCATGCCCACGAAACAACACTGCAGATGCTGCTGGGAAGGAAAGGCCCAGGGAGGGCAGGAATAGGCTTTGAAAAGCTATATCCCAGACCACTGTATCCCAGGGAGAGCTACCTGTTGAAATGGCTTACATAGCCTTTTGGGAAGATCTTTAAATCTTTTAACAGTACACTAAGTTTATCCTGAACTTAATCAGCAACTGAGTTAGAATGAGGTTGGGGGCACTGCTAGCAGAAAACTAAGGTGTCAGGCAGCTGGAATTTCTTAAACTACTTGAATATCCATCTCTGAATGAGACCGACAAGAGGATGCATCATGAAGATGAACAGAGGAGAAATAAAGTGTGGTTGAAAGCCTGAAGAGGAATTTAAAGATTCCAATAACTGGTCAGAGCAGGGAAAGAAGAGAAAAGTCTAGATTGCCCATTCCTGCTATTATCTTTTCCATTCAAATATAAGACGAGGCTAAAGTTATCAAGAAGGGTAGAAGTGGCATCAGGATAACCATATAAATCAATGGAACAGAATTGAGAGTCCAGAAATAAACTCTCACATTTATAGAGAATTGATTTTCAACAAGGGTGCCTAGACGATTCAATGGGGAAAGAACAGCCTTTAACTAACGGTGCTGGGGCTAGATATCCACATGCAAAAGAATGAAGTGAGACCCCTTACCTAGACCGCACACAGAAGTTAACTCAAAGTGGGTCACAGACCCAAATGGAATATCTAAAACTAAAACACTTTTAAAACATAGGAGTAAATGTTTGTGACCTTGGGTTAGGCAAAGCCTTCTTTGCTATAACACCAAAAGCCCAAGTAACAAACGAACAGATATAATAAATATGACTTCTTCAAAATGTAACCCTTTTGTGCATCAAAGCAAGTGAAAAGACAACCCACAGAACAAGAGAAAATATTTACAAATCATATATCTGACAAAGAACTCATACAGATCCAGAATATATAAGGAATTCTTTAACTCAGTAATAAAAAGATAAACAGCCCATTTAAAAAGGGGGCAAAGGATCTGAATATTCATATTTTTTCAAAGAAGATACACAAAACTCCAATAAGCACATCAAAAGATGCTTGACATCATTAGTCATTGGGGAAATGCAAACTAAAACTGTAAGGAGATACTACTTCACACATGCTAGGATGGCTATAATCAGAGACAGAGAGTACAAGTGTTGGGGAGGATGTAGATGAATTGGAATCTTCATAGATAGCTGGTGGGAATATGTTAATATGATGATTTAAAATTCGCAGTCCAAAACCGAAATTACTTTTGGACAAACTTAATAAAAGGGTATAGCCACTTTGGAAAATAGTTTGGGGTTCCTCAAAATCTTAAACAGACTTAACCTATGACCCAGCCATTTCATTCCTTGGTATATACCTAAGAGAAATACAAATATACAGAAATTTTGCACAAATGTTTATAGCAGCATCATTCATAGTATCCAAAAGGTGGAAACAATCCAAATGTCCATCAACCAGCGAACGGGTAAACAAAGTGTGGCAAGTCTATACAATGGAATATTTGGCCATAAAAAGGAACAAAATACTGGTGCATGCTGCAACATGGATGAACTCAGAAAACATTATTTTAAATGAAAGGAGCCAATCACACATGCAAAAATTCACATTGACATTTACATGAAATGTCTGGAATAGCAAATCTACAGAGACAGAAAGTAGATTAGTGGGTGCCTGGGGCTAGAGGGCAGGGCTTGGGGAAAGGGGAGTAGCTGCTAATGGGTATAGGATTTCTTTTGGGATGTGACGAAAATGTTCTATCACTGACTGTAGTGGTGGTTGTACAACTCTGCGAACATAGTAAAAAACCACTGCATTATATACTTTAAATCAGGGGTCCTCAAACTACGGCCCGCAGGCCACATGGGGCCTGCCGAGGACATTTATCTGGCCTTCTGGGTGTTTTTGCCGCTGCTGCCTGTCCTGCTTAGCAGCCGACTCATCCCAGGCCCACAGTGCACACTCTCCAACGGTCTGAGGGACAGTGAACTGGCCCCCTGTTTAAAAAGTTTGAGGACCCCTGCTTTAAATAGTTGAATTATATGTTATAGGAATTGTATCTTAATACAGCTGTTTCAAAAAGAGGGCGGGGGAAAGAGCCAGGGAAGCTGGGGGCTGGAGTCGGGATGGTGGGGAGAGAGGATGGGCGCACCCTGGTGGTCTGGGGTCTGGAGGCTCGCTGCGGTGTTAGCGAGCGGAAGAGGAGACTCAAGATATCCACCCAAACCTTTCAGTCAAGCAAAGAACACTTATACATGTGTGGTCAATGCTCTTTTTTGTTCACCCAGAAATCTCAGGAAGAACAAGGATACTGAAAACCAGGCCTGGCTCAGCCTGGACTTGTGCCTGACTGGCACGCTGGCACGCAAGATGAGGGAACTGGACCGTGGGGGACGGTCAGAATGTGATGTGCGGGCGCACTGCCTGGCTTACGGCTGGCAGGGGTCAACGCCAATCCTAACTTTCCCGTGGCAGAGGCCACTGTGACTGCAGGGGAGCTTGCTTCTGTGTGCTGAGGCACTGGGGCCTGCTTCGATTATTTGTAAAATGATCGCATGTTCTTCTCTGGGTCTTCACAGTGTGGTAGACCACATCATGTTTACAAATAATTCAACATAAGGCTCTGCTGGCAAATCCTCCCCAAAGCCCTCTTCCAGGTCCACGCCCACCCCCCCTTCCTCCCAACACCCAGCTCACCATTTTATATAAAGCCCACAACACAAACTTTCCTTTCCTGACACCATACCTAATTCCCCTGCAGCAGTCCTGGAATCTACAACATAAAATAAAAATCATATCCCTTTGTTCAAGGCAAGTACTACACACGCAAGTTCTACGTTATGACTTCCCGGGAAGAAAAGAAGATTGGTGGAGAGGACCTCTAAAGTCCTCCCACCTCTGCAGGGCTTTGGTGCTTGGATCTTTGCATCGTCTTTTCCAAATGCTTAAGTTTGTGTCTCGTGAATGCGGCAAGGGCAGCACAAACCACAGAAACAGAGGCGTTGAAGGAATACTCAGACGGGAGGTCAGTGGGGACAAACACTGCTGACCTCACTTAAGTTGCTGGTGCCATGCTTCTGCGAGCCTTTGATCTTAAGTCCCATAGGTCATAACAAGATTAGAGAGGATGCGCCATCATAAATAATACCAGGGCACACCACTTTTAATGATTCGCTTAGCCATTTCATACCACCTACGTAATGTCTATTGTTTCAAGGATTATATGGATTTGTTTTTTCAATGTTTTAACCATTATTTACTCACGCAGGCAGCCCCAGGTGGTCAAAGATCAAGTCCAATTCCTCTGCCACTATAAAAAGCTGGAAATGCCACACGAGATCATCACCCCAAAGGCAAAAGTAGCAGATGTGCTATTTTCTATTGTTTTTCAAGATTGGACCATCACTAAAAATTACACTGAGATTTTTTTTTTTTTTTTTAAATCTATGAGGCAGCCAAAGTCAAAAGGTTTGATGATACAGTGCGTGGGCAGTGTGAGGAAACAGGCATTCCCATCCACCGCTGATAGGGCTAGAAATTGGTATGAGTTCCTGGAGGTCAATTTGGGAGTATCTAGCAAAGTTATAATGTACATTCCTTTCAACCCAGCAACTTCTCTTCTAGCACTTTATCCTACATGTGTGAAAGATGACATACAAATGAGATTATTCGTTTCAGCACTGTAATAGCAAAAGACTGCAAACAACTAAATGCCAATGAATTGGGCACTAGTTAAATAAATTACATCAGTTCAATGGTATCCTGTGCAGCTGGGGTAAAAAAAAAAAGATTGAGAAAGTAAGGGAAAAGCAAGTGACAGAATAGTACTCATAGCATGCCTCTGTGAGTATAAAAAGGTGAGGGGGGATAAAGATGTATTTATGGGCCACACAAGAAACTGGTAACACTGCCTGGCTATAAGGAAGGGAACTGGGGCTGTGGACAACAGTGGAGGGAAGTTTTCAATTGCAAACCTTCCTGTAATTTTTAAAATTTTGAACCATGGAAATGTACCATGTATTAAGAGTTTTAAAATAAATGTACGTTTGCTTTGAAAAG